TTCAGTTCCCAGCATCACATGCGCAGCCCCCCCCACACACACAGTTCTAAAATGTAAATTTATAGCAACAAATGCCTATATTAAAAAGAAAAAAGATGTAAAGGAAACAACCTAACATTACATATCAAGGTACTAGTAAATGAACAAACTAAAACCAATATTAGTAGCAAGAAGGAAATAATAAAGATCAGAGCAGATATAAATCAAAGAAAGAATAGAAAAACTCTAAACTTTAATTTTTGGGGAAAACCAGAAAGCCTTTAGCTAAACTAACTAAAAAAAAAAAAAAGAAAAAAAGAAAACACAGAAATAAAATCAGAAATGAAAGTGGAAACATTACAAAAATGACTTAAAAATAAAAAGGATCAGAAGGTATCACTATGAATAAGTGTATGACAACAAGTTAGCTATCCTAAAGGAAATGGATCAGGGGCTGGGGCTGCAGCTCTGTGGTAGAGTGCCTGCCTCACACGTTTGAGGCACTTGGTTTGATCCTTGGCACCACATAAAAATAAATAAAGATATTTTGTCCATCTACAACTAGAAAAATTTGAAAGAAAAAAGAAATGGATGAATTCCTAGGAATGTAGAATCTACCATGATTGTCTCAAGAAGAAACATAAAGCCTTAACTGAACACCAAGACAGGCATTGAATAGTAATTAAAAATTTCCCAGTGAAGAGGAGCCCAGGGCTGGGTATAGTGGTGTATGCCTGTAAACCCAGTGACTTGGTAGTCTGAGGTAGGAGGATTACAAGTTAGAGGCCAGCCTCAATAACTTAGTGAAACCCTGTCTCAAAATAAAAAGGGCTGGGGACATAGTTTAGTGGTAAAGCACCCCTGGGTTCAATCCCCAGTACCAAAACAAAAGATGTTCCCAGGACCAGATGGCTTCAAGGCAGAATTCTACAATTCATTCAATTAATTAACATTAATCCCCCTTATACTTTCCAAGAAAATTAGAAATAGAAAGAATATTTCCAAACTCATCTTGTAACTCTAGCATTACCCTGACACCAAACATAGAAAAAGAAACATAAGAATAGAACACAGGCAAGTATCACTAATGAATATGAATGCAAAAAAAAATCCCAACAGAATGCTAACAAACCAGATTTAATAACTTATCAAAAAGATTTTACATCATGACTAAGTGGGATTTATATCTGTGATCAGTTTGGTTTAACAGTTTGGTTTAACATATTCAATCAATTCATATGATACATCACATTAATAGAAAGAATGATTTAAAAAATGATCATCTCAATAGGAGTTTAAAAAACTGAAAAGTTCAACATCATTTTGCTATAAAATTTCGAAACAAAAATTTCCTGGAATATTATGCCTATTTCATGGAAATAGACACAATGGTAAAATTCATATGGAACCACAATAAGACCCAAAAGCAAACCTGAGAAGGAAAAACAAAATTGAGCATGGGAAGAATGGAGGAATTTTGGGCAAATGGGAGGGAGAGGAGTGGGGTACATGGGGGGGTAAGAAAGTTGGTGGAATGAGATAGACATCATTAACCTAGGTACATGTATCACTAGACAAATGGTGCAACTCTACATTGTATACTACCAGAGAAATAAAAAGTTGTGCTCCATTTGTGTACAATGAACCAAAATGCATTCTGCTATCATGTATAACTAATTAGAATTTTTAAAAAAGAAAAACAAATTTGGAGACATCACATCCCTTGATTTCAAAGTATATTATAAAACTATACAAATCAAAACAGTATGACACTGGCATAAAACCAGATACCTAGACCAATGGAACATAATGGAAGGCTCACAAACAAACTGAAGCAAACAGTAAACTAATTTTGACAATGGTATCAAAAAGACACAATGGAGAAAAAGGCTAATGTCTTCAATAAATGTTCAAGAAACTGGATATCCACATGCAAAAGAATGAAATTAGACCTTATCTTATACCATACACAAAAATCAAATCAAACTGTATATAAGAGAACTAAATACAAGGTCTAAAACCATAAAACTGCTAGAATATAGAGTATAAGCTCCTTTACATTATTAATTTTTTGATATGACAAACAAAAGCACAAGTAACAGAAGCAAAAACAAACAAGTGGGACTATATCAAGCTAAAAATCTTCCATAAAACAAAGGAAACAACAAAATGGATAGGTAGCCTACATATTAGCAAAAAATATTTGCAAATATATATCTGATGGGAGAGTTCAATATCCAAAATATATAAGGAACTCACATAACTCAATAGCAAAAAATTAAAAATAAAAAAAATAAACCCTGATTAAATATTGGCAATGGAGGGCTAAGTTTGTGGCTCAATGGTAGAGTACTTGTTTAGCATGTGCAAGGCACTGGGTTTGATCCTCAGCACCACATAAAAAAAATAAATAAAATAAAGATATTATGTCTAACTACAACAAAAAAAAATTTAAAAAATATTGGCAATGAATTTGAATCTTTTTTCTCAGAAGAAGGTATAAAAGAAGCTGGGTGTTATGGTGAGACCTGTAATCCCAGCATATTGGGAGGCTGAAATAGGAGGATCACAAGTACAAAGCCAGCCTCAGCAACTTAGTGAGCACCTAAGCAACTTAGTGAGACCCTGTCTCAAAATAAAATATAAAAGGGCTAGGGATGTCACTTAGTGCTTAAACACCCCTGGGTTCAAGTGTCAGTACAGGTACATGAAAAGAATTCAACATCATCAGGAAAAGGCCAATCAAAACCACAATGAAATATCACGTCACATTTTTTAGAATGAATATTGCCAAAAAAGAGAAGAGATAATGTGTGCTTTCCAGGGTATAGAAAGAAAAATGAATAATTAGATTTCCACAAAATTAAAAGCCTATGGTTTTCAAAGACACTGTTGAGAAAATGAAAATCTAAGTCTTGTACAGTGATGCATGCCTATAATCTCAGTGACTGGGGAGGCTGAGGCAGGAGAATTCAAGTTTGAAGCCAACTTAGGCAACTTAGATTGTGTCCCAAAATAAACAAAATAAATACAAAGGGTTGGAGACATGATTCAATGCTAAAAATGTTTCAGGGTTCAGTCCTCCGTACTGCAAATAAAATAAGAAAGAAAAAATGGAAGGCTATATCACAGACTTGGATAAAATTTTGCAAAAAACATATCTCTCAAAGGACTTATAAAAAGAATACATGAAGATCTCTCCAAACTAAGCAATGAGAAAATAACCTATTTAAAAATGGGCAAAAGACATAAACATATACTTAACTGAAAATTTTATACAGATGGCAAATAAACACATAAAAATGTTCAGCATCATTATTCATTAGAAGATACAAATTAAAACATCTATTAAAATGGCTAAAAGAAACATTACTGATGATATCATGTGTTGATAACTATGTAGAGCAACTGAAACTCATATTAGCAGTAATATACAAATTTTCCAAAACTGTCATTTGGAAAACTGTCATTATCTTATAAAAGTTAAGGAAACACCTACCATACAACCCAACAATTCTAACCCTAGGCAATTACCTCCCCAAAATCAGCGATGTAGGTTCTCATAAAAATCTTGTACTGAAATAGTCATTTCAACTTTATTCAAAACAGCTCAAAACTGGGAACCCATATGTCCATTAACATGTGAATAGTTATAAGACACAACTATTGACACATGCAACAACAGGCATATATAAGGCATATGTATTAGAGACATTATATTAAGTGAAAAATGCTATACACAAAATATCCAACTATATGATTTAATTTATATGACAGTCTACAAAGAAAAAATTATGATAAGAAAAAGCAGAGCATTGTTTACCAGGGTCAGGGGTGGAAGCACAGATTGACTGCAAAGGGAAGATAAGAAAATGCTTTTAGTTTCCAGTACTGGGGCTTGAACCCAGGAGAGCTCTAGCACTGAGCTACATGTCTATCCCTTTAAATTTCTGATTTACTTATTTTGATTTTGAGACAGGATCTCACTAAGTTGTGCAGACTGGCTTTGATCTTGTGGTCCTTCTGCCTCAGCCTCCCCAATAGCTGGGCATACAAGTATGTACCACCATGCCTGGCAAAGATAACTTTTATGGATTAATAAAAATTCATGCCTATAATCTCAGAAATTCAGGAGGCTGAGGAAGGATGATGTTGAATGCCAGCCTTGGCAACCTACTGAAACCCTATCTCAAAAAGTCCCACTTGTTTGTTTTTGCTTCTGTTACTTGTGCTTTTGTTTGTCATATCAAAAAACAACCAGGTTATCTGTGAATGAGATCCAAACCATATTAGAGAACCACAGAGGTCACATACAGAAATATCCCCATATTCTACAGGAGGCAAATAAAGCCCCAAGAGGACAGGGTACTTGTATAGAATTACCAAGACCATTATCATAGGCATAGATATCAAATCCTCAATGTCCTATTTCCTACTGTTCCCTCCTCTAGGCCCATACACCTTTTCTTGCACTTATTGATTCTACTACTCTAGTGCTCTCACCTAAATACCTTTCAGAGTCCTACTCTCTTGCTAACTCTGGCCCCCTTTATTTCCCAAATCCTGGATTTACCATGTAATGAATATGTTGAGTTCCTCCCAAAACACTGATTCTCATGGAAGCTGAACCCAACAAGAAAACAAAATAGAAGCTAAAGAAAAATCCTACTTATAACTATCTTGAAGTACAAGGAAAGGAGAGTGGAATTGAAAAGAAAGAGAATCCTAGGCCAAACCACAGTACCTTCTTAAACCCTCATATCCTTTTTAAAGACCAAGAATCAAAAGCTGGGCTAGAGAGGAATTTGTCCTTCACTACAGGATAAAGCAGATGAGTAGAACCAGACATGCTCCTTCTATTTCTTCCTAATGGTATTTCAAAAACCTCCCCAGGGTCGAGATATAGCTCAGTTATTAGAAGCACTTAGAGTGCTTGCCTTGCATGTACAAGGCCCTGAGTTCAATCCCCAGCACCACAAACAAACCAACAAAACACTTCCCCAAAGGGATAAGATACTTACATGCTCTAGGAAGCAGGGTCCTATCTCACTGAGGTGGGGGTCATCATTGTTGTACTGTTTCTCCAGGTCTCTCACGAAGCCCATCTGAAACCTGTAGATGTCTTCAATGTTCCCAAAGATTACCTTCAGTTGTTCATCACTGAACATGTCCCTTCTCTTCCGGCACTGCTTCAGGTAGCCCTGAAGACAAAGGAAAACTCCAAAATGAAGATGTCCACTACTCTCAGAAGGCTTCATTGCTTCCCAAACACTTGAGAGCATCACTTCAGCTCCATGAAGTAGGCAGAGAATAGTCATTTCCAATTTTCATATAAGGAAATTGAAATTTAGAGAAGGAAGGATACTTCACTAGTAAGTGATTTCCGCAAAAGTCTTCAGAGTATAAAGACACCAGAGTGCAGGGTTTTCCCCACAATTCTTTATGATTGGGACCCCAACATCAAAGGGCCCCTTTCCAGAAGGTGGTTTTGCACAAACTTGTCTTAGTAGCTATTGGTTTAGCTGGATCCATTCACATCTCTTAAGTTTTATTCCTTATAAGACAAACCCAAATGTCTTAATAATATTGAGAATAATCTGGCAATGGAGGGCAAGGAGGAAAATTTCCATTAAGGGAATGTTAATAGACCAAACTAAACCATTTTTTAAGGTGAATATCTCAGCTATTTAAGGTAGCTGGCCTGAAGCGATTATTCGGATGAGCTCAGCCCCAAAGCCCATGAGTGCCTGGGCATGGTATTTCTAAGAGGGTAAGTGTTAGGGCACATTGATAAATAAAGACATGTATTAACACAGATAATCATGACGAAAAGAGAAGGGATCAGACGAGATTGGGCGCATTCAGGGTGGTATGGCCGTAGACATAGTAGAGGATAGGGATAAGAAAGGCAGTAGAATACAACAGACACTAGTATGGCAATATGTAAATCAGTGGATGTGTAACTGATGTGATTCTGCAATCTGTATATGGGGTAAAAATGGGAGTTCATAACCCACTTGAATCAAAGTGTGAAATATGATATGTCAAGAACTATGTAATGTTTTGAACAACCAACAATAAAAATTTTTAAAAAAATTAATTGAAAAGATGTCCCTGTATATTTTATATAAATCAAACTATTAAATGTCATTATGTTGTTAAAAAAAGGAAAAGAGAAGGAATGAAAGGAATCTTGGTTTGGTAAATGAACACTGAGGCAATATAATGAGATCTGGGGCACACTATAAGTCAGGGAAATAAAAAAAAAAACACAGCTGAGGGGCTGAGGTTGTGGCTCAGCGGTAGAGCACTTGCCTAGCACATGTAGAGGTGCTGGGTTTGATCCTCAGCACCACATAAATAAATAAATAAATAAATAAATAAACACATAAATAAATAAAGGTATTTTTAAAACACAGCTGAAATTGGGTCTTCCATTCTAAACCTACTTGTGTGGATTCTTTAACTGATGATTATGTCCTTATTAGAAATTGTAGTAAATAAAAATGTTCTAGGTGAGAACGAATTATGCTCACTTGCTTTCATCTAAAAACTAAATGTAACTTTCTGAACACCTTCATTATGTACTGAGACCCTAGTGCATGGAGTGTATTTAGTTTCTGATTTACCATATTTACCCTGCCTCCATCCTTACTTTGTCTCCTTTAACACAGCTGCCAATAAGGTCATTTAAGAGTACTCCAGGACGATTCTCATCCCTGGTGTCAATTCCTTTACCCACCAGTTTCAAAATCTCATTTCTATTTCTCTTCTCATCCACCAAATTCATCCATTAATTTGTAAGTATACTTCAAGTTTTCAAATTAATAATCTGTGCCTGTTTTGACATCTATTTAACTGAAGTCTTCTACCTCATAGACTGGCATGCTCAAGATTTCCTGCATCCTTTCATATCCAGTGCTTGACCAGAAAGAAGAAGCTCTATAATTCCTATAATACCTTTCTGGCTCCACTCTCTTTACTAAACAATCTCCCCAAATTCTCCTTTCCTAGAAAGATTTCCTTGACTAATAGAGAATCAATAAACTGTAGCCCCTTCTTGCTTAATATGTAACTTCTAGGGCTTAATCTGTCTGGGTTGGTCTGTGTGTCTGCCTCTGTGTGTATATATTTTGTGTCACCCTACCACCTTTGATAGTGTCTTAGCCACAATGGATTAGGGAGAGCAGTGGGCATAATGTAACAACATTAAGCTGAGGGACAGAAGCTTCCTCAACTCTGCTCCCATTTTTTCTCCCTAAGATAGGCCAAGGATGAAAAACAAACTTTCAGTATGAGCAAATTAAAATGCTAATACCCCTTTAAATTTTGAGTTTTTGATAAACACGAAATTTTTGGCATATTTAGTAAATTTTTAGTATAAATTTCTTAGATTTAGCATATCACTTCTTGGTAAGCAGTTGGTAATGATAAGTGATTGCACGGAGTCCAGCCTAGACAGCTCCTTTGTTCCCTGGGAAGTCATTCATAAGGAAGGAACCAAACATCATAATATCCCCAAAATGCAGCAAGAATGCTAGAATTCAATGTTATATTTCATATAACAGAAATATAAGAAAGAAAGTGATCTCTGGAAAAAAGGGTGGGAGAGAACATCAGTTCAGTTTCCTAAATTCTCCAAATATGCCATTCATTGCCATTATTAGGGATATTATTTTCTATTAGATTATGTTTGCTGGGATTAAAGATGCATATTAGGAAAAATATGACTGTCCACAGGATGGTGAGAACCTGGAGTGTTTTATCAATTGTTGTTCTTAATGCTAGATTGTAAATATGTTACATGAAGCTGGATGGAATATGACATAACTATTAAAATTATTATGAAGACTATGTAGAAACATGAAAGAATGTTTATGGCATCATGTAAAAAGCAGAACATAAATGTTAGATCCCTATGATTAGAACACTTCAAATATATATATATATATATATATATATATATATATATATATATACATGTACACATTTGAAAGTGTTGAAAGGATTATGCAAACCAAAATTTTGTTCTATTTTGTGGGTATGACTGATTTTGGTACTATTTTTAAACTTCCTGTAATGCTTTTTTTAAATTGTCTTCATGATTAAACGTGAGAAAAAGTCTTTTCCAGAGAGTATAAAGAAAATACAGCTATAAGAAGGCTTCCTTGAATGCAATATTATCAATGAAGAGGGAAGGATTAAATGAATGCCTTATAAAAATTTCCTCCAGCACAAGGGTGTTTAAAACAAGTGACTTGCTGAAAGGTTTACAAACAATTTTTAGAAACTACATTTATCAAGGAATAAAGGATAGGATAAGAATATGTGAGTATTTGGAGTACCCCAAAAGGTTAACTTCAACCTCTATATCATCCAAATGTCTTGGCTTCTGGGAAAACAAAAAATGAAGAAATATGAACAGTTCACTGCATTCTTACCTTTATTTTTTATCCCCTTCCTTTGTTTGGCCTGATGACTATTGAAATTTCTACAGCAGTAATGAACAGAGATTTGGTTTAGGGACCTATCAGTATCTGTTGCTTCTCATTCACTCATTTTTGAAGGTATGTAAGTTTAAGATGAACTGGCCATGAAAAGTGACTGCCAAAAACCCCGAAACTTAATATCATTTTAAGTTATTGAAAAGAAAAAAATTAGACTGAGAGGCAAAAATGAGAAAGGTAATGGAAGGTAGTCACACCACTGTAGGATAGTTACAATCAATTCTGTGGGACCCTTCTCTCCAGTCCCTTTTCAGAGAAGCACCAAGAAAACAGTGCACAGTCAGAAGGGAATAAGTAGGATCTAGAGGGACCTGAAAAGCAACACCATTAAAAATGGTGGGAGGAGTCAAGTATATTTGTCTTGTAAATTACTTAGGGGTCCTCTGAAGACCTATGACAGGTGAGAGAGGGAAAAGAAGGGGTCCATAACTTTTACTTTCAGGCGTGTTTCAAACACTCTCTCTGACCCCTGTCTCAATGGCAAGAGTAAATAGGGGCTATAGAAATAGGAATGAACTAATTCAAGAGTTGCTGTTTACTGAGCCTCACTTGTGTTCTGGGGGGTAATATGGGCATATAATAGAAGGAAGACCACAGAGAAGTTAAGAATTATGTGGGTGTTATCAAATCAGTCACAATTGGCATGAATCAGCACTGGCATTGCTATGGTAACAGCCAAGGAATGTTGCTCATCCATTTCACTTTGTTCTTAAACCCACAAGGGCTAATGTAGAATTCTAAATCTAGTGCGTTGATCCAGAAATAGTGCTTTGACATGGAATATAAACCATACCTAAGATTTGCAGGGAAGATTCCCAAAACTTCTGAGAAATAAGATGTATCAAAGAGCTTCTGGATCACCCATATTATGAGAAAATCTTTAGGGAAGTCTATATAGCATTAGTGTCTTCAACTCTAAGTTGAAGGTATCAAAAATTATTTCATTGGCTCCTTTCAGGTCTCATTTTCTTGGTTTTGTGGGTTTTTGTTTGTTTCTTTCTTTTTTTGGTTTTGATTTTGGTTTTTTTGGCCTGGAAGTCTGAAGACTGATGTGAGATCAACAAACCAACAAATATCATCTTGAGTATGAATTTAAGAAAATAGAGAGATAATAACCATAGTTATCTTATTCATAGCTGTTTCCTTAGAGTTTAACATAATACCTGGAATATAATTGTGCTCTGTAAGTATTTGTTGAATAAATGCAAAATGACTAACTCTTCCCATGCTAATGATGGCAAAACATAACTTAAAAGGAGGATATTCAAATTGATGGCTTTCTTTTTTTTCTCCTTTTTGGGATAGGAAACTCTTTCTTTAAATGAAATAAAACCATGTTTTTAAAAAGGAGGTAACAGGAAGATTTTTTTTTTTTTTTGGTACTGGGGATTGAACCTATAGCCACTCAACCACCTATTCATATCCCCAGTCTTTTTTATCCTTTATTTTGAGACAGGGTCTCACTAAATTGCTTAGGACCTCACTAAATTGCTGAGGCTATCCTCGAAAGTTAATCCTCCTGCCTCAGTCTCCCTTACTGGGATTATAGGTGATACCACTATGCCTATCAAGGAAAGAGATATCTTCAACAGGGAAAAATGACAAAACAACATATGGATTATTCAAGGTAGTCCTATAAATCAGCAAGAAAGATATGAGATACTATAGGAATATGGGAAAAGGATAGGAACAGTGCTTAGAATGTCCATGGGGTCTATATAGGGTAGGGCTTAATGTAAGCAAAAAACCCTGAGCTGGTCACTTTAGGCTAACTAGCAGCCTCATCTTTTTACCAAAGTACGCTATTGAAATATTACATTCTACATAATGTGTGATCTTTTTCTATATATGCCAAAATATAGGAACAATTGGGAAATACTGGGATAGTCAAATTAATAAGAAAATCCAAATAGCTAATAAATTTGAAATCTCGGGTTTGAACATATCAAGTGGAAATGAAACTATAGCATGATAAAATTGATTAGACTTAAGGAAGAATTACTTCATAGTGAAGGATATGAGATATTAATATAGGTATCTCTGGAAAGTTGCTCTGGGCTTCTTTTCCATGTTTAGAGGTCCCAGGTTGGCTTTTCTGTGTAGGTGCTGAATATTCCTAAGGAGCAGGCCTGGTTCCCAAAATCCCGAAAATGTGAGATACTGGAAACCTTCTAGGACTCTCTAAGTCCACAGGGTAGAAAATCTACTGCCTTAGATCCAGACTGTTGGATGGGTAGACACACAAACAACATGAAAAAGCAAGGGAACAAATCACTCCAAGCAAACCAAGATACTCCAATAACAGAACCCACTAATACCACAATGGAAGAAATATAAGAGAAGGAGTTTATAATGTACATAGTTAAACTGATCTGCGAAGTAAAAGACAGTATAAGGAGTAAAATCAGAGAGAAAATACAGGAACTGAAAGATCACTTCAATAAAGAGATAGATTCTGGGGCTGGGGCTGTAGCTCAGTGGTAGAGCACTGCCTTGCACATGTAAGACATTGGGCTCAATCCTCAGCACTACATTAAATAAATAAATAAATATATTGTGTCTATCTACAAAAATATTTTTAAAAACCCCAGAAATCCTTAAAATGAAATGTCTCAGTAAAGCTGGACTAGCTCCTGTGCATGCATTTTAAGACAGAATTTATTTCACAGATACAGAATGACTTGAAAGACCTCATCTTCCCCCAAAGAGTCAGACAAGACAGCTTTATAAGGCATCTTTAGTCCTGGTTTCCCTGTGCCTCAGTTTCCCTGATTGTTAAATGAGTACTGAGGTTACAAGAGACAATATAATCAATCGTTGGTCATGGTGATTTAGAGTTAAATTGAAGGTCTCATATACTACTGTCTGGATTTAGAAATAAGAATATGGTCTTAGAGTAGAACTTGGCTCATTCAAAATGACCTTTTATTGACTTTACTGAATAACTTTCATTAAAAATCATTTATTTACAACTTACTCATTTATAAAATGAAAGTGTTGTTGTACCTTAAATGTTTATAAAGCAATTTCTGCTACCATCAGTGTGTATATAACATAGATAGATAGATATACATACATATATATAGAAAGAAGAAAGATTCTCTAATAGTGTCTTTTTTCTATACTGAATACAGTGTCTCTCATTTTCCCTCCAACAAATACAAGAGTGAGAATTATTTAAGCTCTTCTTGACCCACAGAAAAAGAAAATCATGTCATATTGAGTAAAATGTGCCTCCATGGGTACCAAGAAGAAAGTAGAAACTTCAGAAGAATCCTGTAATACTACAACTTTCCCTAGTGACGACATATCTACATCTTACAGAATCACAAAAAGTAAGAGCCAATAATCACTTAAATAGCAACTCCAACCTACTCATTATAGAGATGAGTACAAGGTCCAGGGTGAAAAAGACTCTCCTGAGCCTTCCTAACCAATCAGTGACTCAAATGGAACCTTAAATGGGCGTCAAAAATTCTCAGTCTGGTGTTTTTTTTTTTTTTTTTTTGATAGATCATTTGTTCCTCACAGGATTCAGTTTAGAGGTGACACAATCCAGGGCAAAAATACTGTCTCTAGCTCAACTAGATGCAGCTTTCTCCAACTGTCTTTGACATCTGTGGCTACAGGGACAAAGGGAAAGATTTCAAGACATCAACAAAAGCTCCTAATTAGGTTGGCTATATTGGGCAAATCCTCAAAGTAAGGTTATAGCACTCCATATGGGAAGATGAATACTTCCATTATGTGTTCTGTAAGAAGAGGCCTAGATATTTGGGAGTTGGAAACAGATGATCCTCTAAGACTAAAAGACTCCCACGGGGCCATTACCTGGAAACTCTTAAGAAAATATTCTGCTTCCTAGTCACTCAATCTGTTGATTCCAAAAATAGGAATAACAACTTTTGCTCTGTTTGAAAAAGAAATGGCATATAATGTAAATATATTTTGACATGGTAGTATGTATATGTGTGTGTGTATATATATATATATATATATATATAATTATATTTAATTCTTGTTTTAAGCAATACTTATGAAGCATCTACTATGCTCCAGGCATTGATTAGGGGCAATGCATCAGAAATCATGAGATGAAAACCCCTGCACCTCAACAGAATTTACATAATGGTGGGAGATGGACAATAAGCAAAATATATAAGTAGAATATATATCAGCCATAGTGTAATTGAGAAAAATTAAAAAGGAAAGGGAGAAAGGCAATACAAGTTTATAGATATAATTGTCAGGAAAATTTCTACAAAAATGTATTACTTGAGTAAAACCTTGAAGAAGACAGGGAAGGCAGCCATGTAGACATCTGGAGGAGGAATATTCAAGGCAGAGGACAATACAGTGCAAAGACTCTGAGAGAGAAAGGAGGAAACTGAAGATCTGAAAAGTTAATGGGTCATCTTTAAGAACACAGGGATAATTAATAACTAAGGATGTAAAAGCCAGCACTCCCTGTCCCCAGAGTCCTTGTTCTTTTTCCCCTACCTTATTGCCTCATGAAGAGGGGGAAGATAGCCTTTAATCTTCAAAAAAAGGGGTAAGAAAATGTTGAGGTAAAGAAAGTTAAAGCCCATAGGTAATGAAAGTTAAGACCCACAGTCCTTGGCCTTGGTCTTCTCTGAAGAGCCCTGTCCAATATGGTTGCCATCAGTAGTATGTGGTTAAATTTAAGTAAATTACATTTAAATAAAATTGAAAATTATATTTCTCTGTCACACTAGTCACATCTAAAATGTTCAATTGTCAAAAATGGTTGGCTAATAGATACTGTACTAGAGAGGGAATGAAGAATACTTTACCCAGTAGGTAGCACTGATATAGAGAAACAAGAATGTTGAAAAATGTTGTAGTACTACTGACCTCAAAATGGCCCCAAGGCTGGGGGATAGAAAGTAGGATTTGATCTCTCCTCTAGAAGGAAGGAGACAAAAAGACTTAAAGAAGAATTTTCCCTGCATCAAGTGGAAAGCTATCATTGTGTGTGTTTAGTTCTTTTTCAAAAACATATTACTATAGAGTTGAGACTATAGCTCAGTGATGAAGTGATTGCCTGGAATGGGATATGTCCTGGATCTGATGCCCAGCACATAATTTTTTTCCCATTTCTCATAACTGTTTAGTAAAATGCCCTTTGACAATGTCAGCTTGCCTCTACTGAGCTCAAAAGAATATGAGCAGAAAAGCTCTCACCTTAGGAGAGGAAGATATAGAAGGGATGGTGTTAGATAATGTATCAAAGTGACATACTGAAGGAACTGAAGTTTGTACTTCTAGCCTTTATCTTTTATGGATTACTTTCCCCAAATTCTTTTCTGCTCAAACCAATAAATGTTCTCCAAGTAAGGGAGGAGGACCAGTAGCATCAGCCTCAGCCTTTATACTTAGAGATGCTTAAGCCTTAACCCAATCATAAAATTGACAACTTAGGTTCCAAGAGTGAGGATGCTGGGATCTGCATGCTTAACAATCTCTCCTGGGGACTCTGGTACACATTCTAGAATGCCAATTACTAGCTTGGAGGAACATGTGTTTTGATTTAATGAGTAAGGATAGGCCCTACATGAGAGCAGAAGCTGGATCCAAAACAAAGAGGGTAAGGGTAGTGTTATGGTTTGGATGCACATGTGTGAAACAATATAAAAATGTTCAGAGAAGAAATGATTGGGTTGTGAATGTCTTTTTTTTGGTGGGGGTAGGGGGCAGTTATCGGGGATTGAACTCAGGGGCACTCAACCACTGAGCCACATCCCCAGCCCTATTTTGTATTTTATTTAGAGAGAGAGTCTCACTAAGTTGTAAACCTCGCTTTTGCTGAGGCTGGCTTTGAACTCGTGATCCTCCAGTCTCTGCCTCTGAAGCCACTAGGATTACAGGTGTGCAACACTGAACCCAGCTTTGTTTTGAGAGTCTTAACCCAATCAGTGAGTTAATCCCCTGTTAGGGAGTAAATGAGTGGTAACTGAAATGGTAGGGCGTGGCTCGTGTGCATTGAGGGCTTAGCTTTGGGGTATATATTTGTATCTGGTAAGTGGAGACCTCTCTTTGCTTCCTTATCACTATGATGTGAGCTGATGCCCTCTGCCACACTCTTCCATCATGATGTCCTGCCTCACCTAGAACCCTGAGGAATGGAGAAGGCCTTCTATGGACTAAGATCTTTGAAACCATGAGCCTTCAAATAAACTTTTCCTTCTCTATGATTGTGCTGGTCGGATCCTTTAGTCATAATAGAAAAAAAAATGCTGACTAAAAAGGTAGAGATTCAAGCTAAGGAAGGAGACAAACATGGGGGAAAATGTAAAGGGGAACAAAGAGAGAGAAGGGGAGGGGAAGGAGAGAAAGTGAATATGGATGTATGAATAATAATGAGAAAAGGAGAGAAACCAAAATCAAGAATCTTAAGGGAGTAGTTTCATACATTTTCCTACACAGGTTGTTTTTACCCCACTGAAAAGCTGTTGATCCCACTAAATAGAATCTGGCAGGCCAATTCATTTGCCCTTTCTAACATCTTGGGACCATCACAGGCAGGCCCATGAGGATTGTCAGTTCTTCATGAAAGTGCCCTCCACCCCCACATGTAACACCATGACTACCTCACAAATGTCCTTGAGGTGCTTGATGTAGTGACGCTCAGTACTCATGATCTCATTGATGACATTGGCCCGCATCTGGTCCCGGTTCTGTAGTGGCCGGCCCAGACAGAGGCAGTCTGAGTTGGGGTCCAGGTGGCCATTCTGCACATCACTGGGCCCTTCCTCCACCCCATCCTCCTGGTTCACCCAGAGCTGTAGAAGCAAGCAGAAAATAATAATTTATTAACCTCTCTTCTTTGAAGACTTTCAGTCAAGTAGAAAAAGGACAAATTAAAACTTTTAGGAATTCAGAGAGCCTTCAATCAAAGGTCCCTGCAAAGAGAAATGTCAGACTTGGCCCTGAGCATGATTCAAATCCTCTCTAGGTCTCTGGTGACCTATCTGTGAAATGGAAAATATGGGCATGAATAAATGATCTCTGGGTAGCTTCTTGGCCAAGAAGGTCTCAGAAGAGTGGGAAATGGTGGCAAGAAGAACTTTTTTATGCTGAAGCACATCTAGATAACCCGGCAGGATCAAATAAAAGAAAAAAATTAAACTATACATCTTAAGTGCCACACCTGGATTACTGTCAAAACACAGCATTTAAGTGCCTATGAGTGTGACCATCAAAGTTAGATGCTGAAGTGGGTGTCTCACAAAGAGGGCTTTGGTATGACTTCCATCACAGGGTATACAAATAATAATAAAATTTTAACTAAAATTTCTGGGACATGCAAATATTTCTAACTCTTCAAGATCATGATGGGGATGGCATAATATTTCTCAGGGACCTAAAAATAACAGTCACTGATTAAGCACTTAATATACAACAGGAACTATGCTAAGAACTTTCAGTAAACTTATATTCAGTCTTGCTAAGTAGGTTCCATTGTTACTCCCATTTCACAGAAGAGGAAACTGTGGCTAAAAGTAATTAAGGCATGAGGTTGAAGTCACACAGGAAGCAGAGAAGCTGAGATAAAAGCCAGACAATTTGATTCTACAGCCTACCCACTTAACCACTATTCCAGCAAATTTGTGCCTCTAACTCTTAAGGGGGGCATGAAGAAAGATAGAAAGGGTTTGGGCCAATGTGGGGTGAGAATTATTAGAATTATCAGAACTGGATATAGTTGACACAGATTGAAATTGTCTATTCCAAATCATGAAGTTGGAGGGAAGCTGGAAAAACTTCTTTTGGGAAAGCTGGGTGATTTGGAATAGACTTAGCTTGAATCAAAGAGATGACCTATTTCACCTCAGTCCTAGAAAGGGGGGAACGTATGGCAGTAGGGAGAAAAAGATGGCTTGGAACCCTAGGGAGAATGGTAAAATTTGTCAAGGTTAATTAGATAAGGAGCTCTCCAATTGTCTCAACATCATTAATCAACTCTCCATACTTCCCTTCCCTACTCTCCATTTTTTTTTCCACATCCCTGACTCAAGAAGATCAGGTCAAACAATTTAGATTCATCCTCATTTCTGCCATCTGAAAAGCCTGTTAGTATGTGGCTTTAGGATAATAGAGGCTTTAAGATGAAGCTAGAGAAAAAATAGTTACTTCTCAACTCTGAGTATTCTTCCTTCTCAGTTTCTTTTCTAGGAGGCAGGGAGCATTGTTATCTCCCAGGAAAACCTAGAGATGTTATTAGCATATATTCTACTTCCTTGCTACAGGCCAAAGCAAGTAGTGATCACTCTGTTTTAATACATTTTCCATAGTCAAGTGTACAAAATTTATCTAACCCCAAATCTATCACCTTCCTTAAATTGTCTATTGGAAATCTCTTCCAAAAGGTCAGTTTTGTGCCTTCAATATGCTAATAGCTACCCTGTAATATAATTGAGAGACAATATGAGAGATGATTATTCAAAGGTTGAGACCTGCTGAAAAGGTGATTCCAAGGCACTCACAGTAAACACCTCATATGCATGATGTTGCTATTTATAATAATGAAAACATCGCTCACAAGCAATCTATTAGCTTGCTCTACTTCTCAGACTGATCTAAGCCCTGCTATACAAAAGGTACCACTGGGAGGCCTTTAAAATATAAGAATCATTTATTTTCTTCTCTGGAGTTTAAGACAAATTCAAGTCAAAACATTGGTTTTTGGATGACTGAAATAAGATGGAATATTTAGAATAGTTCCAGTGGGAAGGAATACAGAATATGAGGCCAGAAAACTAAAAAGTGAGGAAGGCAACTTCATTCCAACAACCCCAGAAGCCCATTCCTTAGGTTAAGACACTGCTTTCATCCAAAATAACTATCAGTATATTCGTTCATTTATTCAATAAATCTATGTCAATGCCTACCATAGGTCAGATATTGGGGATAGAACAGCAAACAAAATAAACAAATCTTTCCCTTTGTGGATCTTAACTTTGGAGAGACAATGTTTCCTAGCCTAGAAAAAGGTGCCATGCAAGGCACAAAATATTGTGTTCCTGAACTCAGAGTCATAGAAAAGATCCTCTAGGCCTTATGATATGACGTTTTGGCCTAACCCCTAAGTCTCTGGTCTTGAGAGTTTCCCTATTCTGGGCAGATGAAGGCCCTAGTCCACTTGCATGTCAGAGTGCAGAGAAACAGGTGAGCCTATAAGCTTCTCTTCCCTGGGCAGAATTTCAGCCCAGAATGCCATTATCAACCTGCACAATGGCCTGTGTAGGTTAATGTGTACCTTTCTACAAGTGTTCTTCACGGATGCTGCAATTAAAACCTATAGGCTGCTGGATTATTAGTAAGAAGAAGGGCAATGTCCCAAAACTGCCAGGTTGGGAAACTTCCAGAAACCCTCTCAGAGTACTTAAAGGCTGGTTTCCTCAGCCTTAATTGAACACCAAAGTAGACTGGAGTAGTGTAGTTCAATGTAACAAATAATTACATGGGACCATTTCTGTGCCTAACTAGCATTAACTGTGAGACATAGGTGAGCAAGACAACCAACACCTTCATCTTCTTTCAAAACCAAGGTGTGCTTTCCAAATCAGAGACAATCTCTGGTCTCTCATTTTTCCATTGCAACTGGTATTGCCTTCATCTCTATATCTGCATAAGTTTCACATGTCACTATCAAACCAATTTCTTTGACTTTCACTTTGATTATCTATCTCATGCCCCCAAATTTTCATTGGCTTCCAACTGATTATGAAGCAAGTCCAAATCTTTCTTTTTGACATTCAAATCTGACTCCAATCTCTATTTCCACCTTTACCTCCTACTACTCCCTTTAGGAATGTTGGGCTCCTCTCAGACTGATCTGTTCTCAAATATTCCAATTTATATTCTTTAATACAATGCTGGAACAAAAAAATATAATATAGTTCGGAGGCTTTCCATTACTTCAGTAACAATGACCCAACCTTTCAACTTACTGATAATTAAACTGAGGCCCACAGATTTCCATGGAGTTAGCAATATACCCACAATTTTCTACAAAAATTTATTGGTGCATCATAATCATATATAATAGTGGAATTCACTGACACACCCATATCATCAATGTGCCCATTTATTTACATCTTCCATTTTTCTTTCTTTTCTTTGTATTATTATTATTATTGTTGTTGTTGTTATTATCATCATCATCATCATCATCTTTGCATCAGAGACTGAACCCAGGGGTGCTTAACCACTAAGCCACATCCCCGGCCCTGCCTCCCTTTTCTTGAGACAGGGTCACACTAAGTTGCTTAGGACTTTGCTAAATTGCTGAGGCTGGCTTTCAACTTGTCATCCTTCTGCCTCAGCTTCCCTAGCTTTGGAATTATAGTTGTGCGCTGCTACACCCAGCTTGCATCTTCTATTTTTGGTTTTATTTTTAAATTATACAGTTTATACAGGAACATATTTGCCTTGTAAAATGTTGAAATAGAGAAAAAGGAAGAAGACTCAATTGATTATAATATGAGATGAGAGAAGAAATATCACTATCATTCCTACATAAGGATTAAATGGGCATACTATGAACAATGGTATGCTAAGAAATTAGTTAAAATGATGAAATGAACAAGATCCTAGAAAGACATAAATTACTGAAAAATGACTTAAGAAGAAATAGAAATTTGCACAGGACAATAAAAAGTAAAGACTTTGAATGAATGAGAAAATCTCCAATATGAGGGAAAAAACATGATACAGAATCACAGACAGCTTCACTCATGAACTTTACTAAACATTTAAAAAACAATTAACAATAATCTTTCACAAATTCCTCTGAAAATTAAACGTAGAACTCCTCAACAGAATACTAGCAACCTAAACCAAGCAACATAAAAAAAATTCCATCTTGCCAGACAGAATTGATCTTAGAAATGCAAGATTGATTGAATATATGAAAATCAATGTAATAATGAAATAAAGGTTACAAAACACCACATAATAGTCTCAATAGACATAGAAAAAAGATTTTAAAAAATTCAGCACTCATTTATAATAAAGACAGAAAATAGTGTTTTGAGGGAACTTCCTCAAAATGATAATAGACATTTATGAAAAACCATAAAATCATTCCTAATGGTGAAAGAATGAATGCTTTCATTGTATACAATCAAGAACAAGACAAGGATACCTGCTTTCGTCACTTCTATTCAACCTTGTACTGGGGGTTCTAGCCAGTAAAACTGGACAGGAAAAGTAAAGAAAAGGCTTTCAAGATTGGGCAGAAAGCAAGACTTCTTTCAAGTGCAAGAAGTAAAATCAAGAATCAATAAATGGGGGCTGGAGTTGTTGCTAAGTGGCAGAGTGCTTGCCTAGGACATTCAATCTTCAGCACAACATAATAATAAATAAATAAAAATGAAGGTATTGTGTCCATATACAACTAAAAATATTTTTTAAAAAAGAATCAATAAATGGGATGGATTCTAACTAAAAAAAATTCAGCAAAGGAAGTATTCAATAAGGTGAAAAAAGAGCCTATAGAATGGGAGAAAATCTTTACCACATGCATCTTTAATTGGGCATTAATCTCTAGGAACTCAAAAAACTTAACACCAAAAACAAAAACAAAACAAATATCAAATAACCCAATCAATAAATGGGCTAAGGAACTGAACAGACACCTCACAGAAGAAGAAATATAATCAATCAAAAATATATGAAAAAGTAATCAACATCTTTAGCAATTAGACAAATGCAATTCAAAACTACACTTAAATTCCTTCTCACTCCATTCAGAATGGCAATTGTCAAGAATATAAGC